GAAGACAGGAGCACAAACAGGGCGGAGACAGGAGCGCAAACAGGGAACAAGACAGAAGCACCAACGAGAGCAAGGCAAGGACACAGGCAGACCGCAGGAGAAAGCGCGCCACCTCAGCCAGCCTTGGCTTCTTTGCTCAGGTATACCGCAAGACTCTTTCTATCCAAATCGCTAGGGCTTTTCTCGTCCCATCTGTGTTTGTTCAATTTGGTCGCGTGCTATCTGTTTACTCTGTTCTCTCCTTATAGATTGAAAAGCGCAACACCTTCGACAGTAACGGCCACCCTTCAACAATTCGCGGCACGGTTGTAGTCTGGTGCCCCTCGTGCTTTCAGCGTGTGTGTGTACTGATTGGATTTCTTTACGGAGACGAGAAACACACGCAGCCAGAGCCGTGCCACATGATGAAGAAGCACCATCAGGCCACGACGCTCGTTAGTTTTTACTGAGGCGCTTGCGCGTCTGTTGTCGTAAAAAAGTATTCCCTTGTTTTATTTCTGTAATACAACTGACGCGGGGACATGAATGGCAGCCGCGGCTTTATCAAACAGGTGCGGACCCAGCTTCTTTCGCTTGAGCGGCGTAAACCTCTCTGGGAGGCGTGTTCGATATTATGGATTTCCTTGATTAGCTTCCTGAGGCCAAAAAGTTCGCTTTTCTGTAGTCAAGTGCGATGGCTTTGATAAAGAAAAAAAAGGCCTAAATTCAATTGGGCGCGCCTTCTCTTCATATTGTGAAACTTTACCTAACGGCAAGAGCATGAGCCCCATCGGTATCGGCTTCGCCGTTCAATTACACGGGGCCAAGCTTTCTGGGTGATTGAGATCGCGACTCCTCTAACCTCCTGACCCCTTGAAAATCTGGACTCCTACAAAATGTTACCAAGATCCTGCAAAATTCTGGGCCTCCGTGTATTCTTATGCGTTTGCTTTTAAGAAGGCGCGGCACCTTCCGGGACCGAAATTGTTGAGCCCGTCGGCGCTCGGGGAGAGAGTGAGGGACAGCCATCCAGAACTGAACTGAGACTGCGGCTGGATCTAGTCTGCATGCCTTGGAGAGGAGCCGTCGACCCAGGCGGAGAGGTGCCTAGCGACATTAGGTGCTCCACTGGTGACGTGCTTTTGCATGCATTAAATGCCCCCGCGGCGAAGGAGGCTGTTGACGCAGAAGAGGAGAGCTCGTCCACGCAGTACTTTAGCCCACAAGCAGGGAGCCTCCGCCGTGTCCTTCTCGCACACGGTGTATACCTTCTCAGAGCTGACTGCGGTGGCGTGCTAGGATCGCGGATACCACTGCAACCAGAGCCAGCCCCAGCGCATGCGCATTCCCCGGACCCGACTCCAAATGTGGACGCTGTCGACTTTTTCGACTTGGAGGTTGTATACCTGGACGCCCAGCAGCGCGGGCACTGCCTTCAGAAGCTCGACGAGGAAACAAACCAAAAAGACCACCGCGGCCGCCGTTTTTGGGTTCCGTGGCGTGCTTTTACGGGCTTGGACCCATCGGGGAAGGGGATGTCTATTCATGAGCGCAAGCTGCCTCCTCTCGAGTTTATCGAAAAAAACGAACTGCTTCAGCCGAAGCCATTAGAGCACGGCGACCTGATGCTCCTGAAGACGGGGGCGAAAAGCACGGAGAGCGAGACGCAGCAGCCCCCCGCCCCTGACTCCGCGCGCCTACATGTGAAGACACCTGTGGCGGCCCCTGGGGGTCTCGCAGTGGTAGAAGCAGAGCGCCCCGCGCTGTCGCTTGCACAGCTACAGAAAACACATTAAGAGCAGTCTATCGCCATTCCATGTGGAGTGTGCTGAGGGAGTGGCCCTCCTCTTGATTTGAGGGGAAAATATCTACGGGGGGCGCAGGTAGGGCAAGGTTACGCAAATCACTCGACTCGGGATAGTGAGAGACTACCTCTAAATAAAGGGGACGCTGGACCGCCCTGACGGGGTGGCGTGGCTCTACCAACCCAGCAGTGGAAGGACGACGGAAGCGACGGAGAGCAGCAGGGACAGGGAGAAGGTGGCAGCAGGTCTCTCTAAATGTATTCGCGAAGCCGTCTCGGCCAACGTTGTAAAAGCAGGAAAGTTTCCAGGAGCAGTGAGCAATAGGGACCCTGGGTGGGAAGAGATAGAAGACGCTTGCCTGATGTCTCAGCTGCCTTTGGTTATCTTATGGAGAGGTGTGTATACCTCTGACCGTTACCGTACCCAGTTTCTCTATGTTGCAACGCATAGGACCGATAGCGCCTGCCGGTGTGCGTCTTCATTTTTCGTCTTTCTTTGAGTCGCTCAGAAGCGCACGCCGCGGCGCTCAGAGAAGTTCTGGGCTCCGGCTGCCCTCATTATTGAATTTTGTGGTCGACGTGTGACGCACGCGCATTATATATCTTCGAATCAGCCTCAGCCCCATGGCCCCCAGCGAGCTTAAGCGGATGCTTGGCAGTAGATTAGAAGCATCGCTTCACGCTTATGGGGATGCCTGGCAGGCTGCTCCATACCGATTCCGAACGGGGTAAGCGCGCTCCTGTAAGCACCCACGAGGGCCGGGCCAGGGATGGCTCTGTCTTGGCTCAGCGTGTAACTTCGCAAGCCAGCAGCTGCCCCGCCTCTTCAAATGCGTGAAACAGGTGCACCGGCGGGGCGGGTTGGCACTAGCTTCGGTTTGTCTGTTTCCAGGCAGGGGGCTTGGCAGTTGCGCTTGAGCTTGGGGTAGCTGCTCACTCGACAAAGGAGATCCATGCTGTAGCGCAGAAGTGAGCTAAAGCATGCCACTTGGTCCCCCAACTTGGGTCTTTAGGTCATGTGCTTCCGCTGCTGCAGGCATTCAAAAAGGCCGGCGGGCTTTCTTTGGTCAAGTCGAGTAGGGTGGTGGGTGTTTTCGGGTGGTGGCGTTGGCAGCGGTGCCACTTCGTAATACTTATACAAACGCATGTGCCCCCCCGGCTGGCAGAGAGCCACGGCCAAGAAGGCTGGCCTCTTAGTTAGCTTGGAGCCCGTCGGCCCCGTTGCATGCTGGAAGGGGCCAGGATCCGAAACCAAAAGCGCAGGGCCGGATCGCTGCCCCATGGACCACCCAAGCGCGCCGGGCTGCTTAATGGTGCTGAAAACGAAGGGCGTCGCTGTGTTGTCGTTTTTGCAGGCAATACAATTCCACTGAATAGGCAACGGCGCTCGCAGGTCGGTGCGTCTTTGCTAGTGAGTCGGGTAAGCGTGTTGCGCTTTGTCTCTTTGTTTTTCATCCTGGGGGGTGAGGTGTGTCCCTTTTTCGGTGGATGGGGGTCCGCTGGTATACAGTGCGCACGCGGGTGGAGGGGCTGCGAGCGGGGGCGAGACGGTGCAAAATGGTTTGAGCGCAATCGCTGGCATCTTGTTTAAAAGTGTGAGGAAAACGATGGAAACCATCACGCAGGCACCAGGGGCACGTATTTGACTGGCCGCAGCCCCCTCCCTTTGGCTTGGGTTGTAAGTCAGTGTGTGAGGACGCGCTGGGAATAAGCTAGCAAGCTGGCCTCGCTTTGTGGTCGTTGGGGCTCCTTTCTTCTAGCTGTGTCCGCGTGTTGCCATTGACGCGCACATGCCGGGGGTTCGTTGGCATGAATGACGCGCCCAGGCGTCTCTGCTTTGTCTCTGGCCAGCTTGTGCAAGCTTGGCGGCGTGCATGTGTGTGCTGCTATGAATGGCGGTGGCCTTGCCTGTGTCAGTCACAGACACAGGCGCAGGGCGCCAGGTGTGTGGCATGGCTAGTACCTGTATGCATGGCAGGAGCACCGCATTACATTGGAGAGCGCCGTGGCCTGGCGTGGCGTTGGCCATGCGGCGGCTGGCCCTTCTGTGGCAGCACCGGCGCGGCTGAGAGACTACGGGCCGCACTTTTTTGCTCGGGGGGGCTTTCTTGTTTAATTCATTCTGGCGGGCGGTTCGTCGCTCTCTCTGGGTTATCTCTTTACCAGCATTAGACGACAGAGACCTGCGAGCGCTTGAACCGACACCGCCCCACCCTCAAAGCGTTAGCCCCTGGCCGCGGTTGGGGCGGGTGTGGTGGATAATTTGGCGAGGGTGGACGGGTGTCCCCTTCTCAAAATGGCCAGGGCTTGGCTGCGCCACGTTGAGCCAGGTGAGCGTAGGTTGCTTATTTCGCTGGCCGCTCGGTGCTTGTTTGGCTTGGCAGGCTTGACGCGCCCGCGGATCGCATGTGGCGGGGCCTCGTCTGCTCTTTCCCGCCTGGAAGCAAGAGCTTGCGCCCGCTCCCGCCCAGGGCTGAGTGAAGCTCTTCCGTATACTCGACAGACCCCGCTCGCAAAGAGGTCGCGGAGCCTCAGGGGCTGGCACGCTGTCGCTGGAAGGAACGCGGGCGGCCGTTCTTGTCTGGCGCCTTGTCTCTGGGAGAGCACTGCGCAGACCCCTCTGAGGGGCCGGACAGCTGGCCAGCCCCCCTTTGTCTGCTGTGGTAGGAGGCCGCGGCGCCGCTGCCACGGCCACGGCCCAGCAGTATGCCTTCTTTGAAGCGGCCAACCACCGTGGATGCTTTGCTTCGTTGGGTGTCATAGCACTGGGCGCAACAACTGAGGTGAGAGAAAAGTTCCAAGAAACGCCACGGCAACCTGTCGCCACAATAACTATAAAACACTCGGTAGCGTTGGCTTACTTAATATCTGTTGAAAATAGAAGAAAAAGGGCTAGCGCTCAATTATTTGCTCTAACCGCCCATCGCTCACCGGAGCCTGAGCCGCGGCCGGTGCCTCCTGAGGCCGCGCCTTTCTTGGGATTTTCCTTCCGCCTGCCACCGGCTTCGGGCGCCTCGGAGCCGAAAGTGCTCACAGTGGCCATCGACACGGCATTAATTGCGCCGGCAAACAAAAGAGTTGAGGCTCATAATTTTGATCCCGTCCAGGTTGCTGTCGACGTGGCCGGTGCTTGCAACAACGCTGCGGCGGATGACGGCTTGAAGATGGCGGAGGCCCTCGCCCAAGCAGTGTGCACCACTGCGGCCACAACTCTCACGGCCCAACATGTTGGCGTGGTAGGTCGGTTGAGATTGCCATCGCGCCTCATAGTTTCCCGCCTTCAGATTCTTCACGAGCTCGCCTCTCGACACGGGGCAGAGAGCACATTGGGCGACTTCAAGAGCAGCGACGGGCCGTGGGCTTCCATTGCTACCACGTCTTCGCTCGCGGGAATAGATAATTTCAGTACAGTAGGCGAGGTGAGCCGGGTGAGAGTAGCCAACAGTGGGGAGCTTGGTTGCAGAAACGCGGGGGATAAGGATAGGCCCAGCGAGTGGGAGTGGGGGCCCATTGCATCAGGCTGGCGCGTCTCGCCGGGCCTCCTCTTCGGTCTCGAGGTTTCTCTTGCGGCGCTCCGCAATCTGGGCTGGGTTGGCGGCTTCGAATTCTCGCCGATTGGGGTTTATGCTGTGGAGCTTTTCGTGGCTAAAAAGTGGGAGACTGTGTTCGTCGATGATCGCGTATTGCTCTGGCAGGCTTACGAGCATGAGGCAGCGACATTGCGTCCCCTCTCGCCGACGAGGATGTCGTCAATAATCCTCGCCAAGGCAGTCCAGAAAGCGATGCACATGAGGGACTTCTCTGACCGCTTTAAGGCGAGCAGAGCTTCTACCGACCTACTCTTCGCAACCAGTCAAGAAGCTGCCTAAGAGTTGTATGTATAAGTATATCGCTTAGCCCTGGGCGCGCGGGTTGCCTAGGGTGGAAGGCTCTTTGCGTCTTTGCGTATGGGTAGATACCATAAACGGCGCAGCTAGCGCGATCCATTTCTTTTTGGTGCTGCGGCGCAGCATTAGCCTGCAACTTTCCATGCTGCAGGGTGTTTCGCTTTTGCTTTGATGATAAATCAGCGTCGCATAGACTTCCGCCCCGGGTTCATCTTTGCAAAATGGGGAGAGCAGGGTCGCCCCCTAGTTACCATCCCGTCCCCCTGGGCTAGGGCTAGCGCGTGGTGGTTGTTTTCCTTCTTTTGCCTCTCTCGCGCGGCTGAGTCACTGTCAGTACCCGCCTACCCGGCATCATGCAGTCAGACCGGCGCGCCACGGCTATTCGGTTTGAAGATGACATGATAGGCAAGAGGTAGAGGCCCTACTCAGCGTCATGCGCTTCGAGCTAGGTGGAAGTGGAGGGCTGGCCGAGAGCGATTTCTTTGCGTTTGCGGCGCGTATGTTCGTCGGCATCCCTTATGCGGACAGCAGCCTTGAAAAGTCGCGCCAGGTGACTTGGCATTGGAATACCGGGCCATACTGTGCTTGGGGTAATGGGCCGCCGGCGGCAGTGATCCCTCCTGACGCGGCAGCCTCGTGCAGGAAGATTGATCCCACGACTGGCGATTTTTTCTTAGAGCCGGCTCGTGCGCAGGGTGGCGCTGAACGGCGTCTCCCTCCTGATTCGTTCGCCCTTACAGTGCCGAGCCTTCCGGTGGCGTGGACGTCTAAAGAACTCTACGACGGCTTCGAGAAAATGTTATGAAGGGTTTTTTTTAAAAGTTGCAGTTCTACTAGTAGCACTAGCTTTGTTCGGGTCTTCTACTTTTTTGCTCCACCTGATCGGCAGATCCGTGGCCGTGCCGCGAAGTGATATAATGCGAGCAAAAAGAGAGGTGGCCAAGCACTCTACCTGTCTGAAATTGAAAAGCTACCTCCACCTCTCCTCCAGCTTCAAATGGGGAACACGATCTGGACCCGCGAGGGTGCTCGCTCTACTATGGTGTCTTGGAGGCAATACTTATGGCCTGCACGTTTCCAATCAATGTTCGCACTTCGTTCTGTGCATTTGTTTTAGGGACATGCTTTGTCTGCTTAGGAGATGCTCCTGCTGCGCGTTGTAGTGTGCAGGCGCATAGGGTGGGCGAGACAGATAGGATACTCTAGCAACTAGGGGCGGCGGCTAGAAGTAGCTGATAGCACTGTTGACTAGCGCAATTGCCCACCAGCCTGGGTGTCGCGGCGTGTATACACGCTTGGCAGCGCACCTGGGCAGGGCTGTTAAGACTAGGCTTGGACCATTTTCAAGAAGACAGAAACCGGGCGGGTGCAGCTATTTCAGAGGACTCGCCGGCCTCTTGTCTTCTAATTTGTAGGCATTTGTTCTCCGATACTGGCGCGGAGAATGGAGGGCGTACGTGGTGGGGACAAGCCCTCAGCCGGATCTGGATACGATAAGGAACTTTTGGAAATGGAGTTAAGGAGTGCGATGGCCTATCTTCACAGAGCGCCCCTCTTTTTTATTACTTCTTCCTGATTCTGGCTTAGGTAGTCTGCCGTTGTCTGACAAGTTGCGCCCCAGGATCTGAAGAGATCGATGAACCCACAACATGAATTGCTGTGAGCTCTAATGGGGGAGCTCCTCTTTCGTCTTGCCGAAGGCTCAGCGGGCACTCTTGCGCGATGTGCTCGGACAGAAAAAGAACGGTAAGGCCGCCGCATCCCTTGCTCGTGTGTATTGGCCTACGCGTGCTACTTATGTGTTAGCTCTTAGGTGAGAACGAAGAAAGTAGACGCATGGCGAGCGCTCCTGTCTAGGTTATAGAGGGTCAAAGGCGTAGGCGCGTAGCCCCTCATCTGTGTGTACTCAGTATGCGACATTGCGTGCTGAAATGTATACTACTCCGCAATCAGCCTCGCCCATACATGCCAAGCCAGGCTCGTTAAAAACACGGAAGAAGTGGAGAGTGTAGATCTGTGCGGGGTTTGTGCCTGGCTCCTTGATAACGTTCTTGGGGAATGCAAATGCCCAAACTTTGGAAGAGAGCTATAGGGAGGCTACAGCCTGACAACGGCAGCACACGTAGCAAGGGCCTTCGCCAATATCGTAGCGGCACAGCTGCGGCCTTGGATCCGCCTGCTTCTTGTCTTGCTTCCATTTCTGTCCATTCAGGCAGCATCAACGCCGGAGCGGCCTCCACTGCTTACAGGTGGGAAGCGTTGTATGGCTGGGCCTCACCTTCGGCCATTTTTGCCCCAGCCCCGCTCTTGCACTGGCGCGCGAGCATAAGACGGCGGACTACGTGGCGCTCTGGTTCTGTTTGCTCTAAGGGTGTGGGTTCTTATCGATCGTTGGCGGAGCTTGCTGGCCTTGTTTTGTAGTTTCGTCGCCGGTTGTTTTATGTCGCGCTCGCGGGCGCTTGAAATAAACAACCCGCAGCGCGAACACATGCGAGCGGCGCGCTTGATTCATTATCGCGCGGGCTGACTAGCTTGCGCAGCGCGTGCAACCTGTCAGGGGATCACGTGCGGCTGCGGTCGTTTCTTCTCTTTCCATCACGCTGGCAGGCCGTAGCTTTTGCCGCGTTGGTGCATCATCGCTCTCAGGCTTGTGGGCGCAGTAGTTGGCGGCCTCTCTCGGGCTTCGTCACCGGGGTTGTGTGTTTCGCCTTCGCTTTCGTCTGTGGGCTGTGTTCTCTGCTTTCGGTCAGTTGTCTCAGCACGGTAAAGACAGTCCCCCTGCTCAGCGTCTGTTCCCGGCTGGTGTCGTGCAGTCGGTTCTCTGACCTGTCAGTGGCTTCGTGTTACTTATGCTTGAGCGGCCTCGCCTCGCCTTTCTGTGTCGTCATTGGTAGGCACTGGCGCTTGCTTGTGCGTTGCCGCGTCGCTCGGTGCCGTTTGTCGGTGTTCTGCAAGCTTGTGCGGGCTGTGCCCGGAAAGGAGGCCTCCTGCGTGCCCGCCCCTGCAGAGTTTTGGTCGGTGGGTTCATTGGGTTGTAGCGCTGTGTGGCGCGCTTGTGTCTTGTGAGGCAAATGTCAGGCGCAGGCGTGTGCTCGTTGTGGGGTGTCGGTCTTGTCTTCCTCGGCCGTTGGGTGTAAGCACCACGCAGCCGCGCGCATGGGTCAGCTCTCTCCCCTGCTTGTTTTTTTTTTATGGTTTTGCCTCCGCGTGGTTCGCTTGCAGCAGCGGGCGTGCGTCAGTGTGATGCGCTTGCTGCGCCCCAGCTGGGCGCTTTCGTTCCACTTTCATGTCTGTGAAGGAGCAAGCCTGTGGCTTCGCGTTGTGTTTGCGCGCGTCGGTCTGCTGTCTGTAGTGCTGTGTGGTATCTCGTGCCGTGTTGGAAGATTGTCAGTCGCTTCTTTCTGCTTCAGAGATTTATCGCTGGGCCTGTGCGTATGTCGTGCCCCTGCCCGTTGTGCTTATATATAAACATGACTCAGGGCCGGACGGCTGCGGCGGCGAAGCCTAACGGATGCACTTAGGGCACGGGCAGGCACCTGGACGGGGGCGCAGGCGGTCCCTTGGGCCCCTTTTGAAGCCTCCCACCACCATCGGAGGCCCCGAGGGAACCGCCAGGCCCCCCCCGGCGGACGCCTCAAAAAGGGGCCCCTTGCCCTTGTGCCCGCCCCCCCCCGCTAGGCGGGGGGGCGTCGCCCCGCGCCCTCGGACGTATATGCTTTAGGGCTCGCTGCACGGTGCCCCCCCACTGTGGTATGAGGATGGTCTGTAGTGGCGCGCGCGCGCGCTTTTCCGCGCTGATTTTCGCGGATTCTAGTGGTGGAAGGCGTCAAAACTTGGCGCGGGCCTCCCCTTGCGCCTCTCCGCGGGTCCTTTAGGGGCCTCCCGGCCTCTGCTGACCCTCGCAGGCGGGAGGCCTCCGGGTTAAAAGGCTGCGGAGGGCGGCCACGGTCGCAAGAGCAAGCAAGCTGATGCCCCGGGGACGGGGGGGCACAGGCTGCACGGCTCAGGGGGTCCGCCCAGCCCCTCGCCTTTTGCCGCCTTCGGAGGCCTTCCCCGGCCGGCGCATTGCTGCGGCGGCGAAGCATATCGGAGGCACTTAGGGCACAGGCAGGCACCTGGACGGGTGCGCAGGCGGTCCCTTGGGCCCCGGTGGAAGCCTCCCACCTACGTCGAAGGCCTGCAGGCAACAGCCAGGCAGCTGGAAGGGAGCGGGGGAGGGAGGTCACGCGGCCCCTTTATTTGGGGCCTTCGCTCCACCACCGGCAGACGCCTGAAAAAGGGGCCCGGGGCTGCACGGTGCCCCCCCCTGCGCTACGGACGCACCGGTAGCCCCGAGCCTTGGGCCATATATTTACTCTTTTGTGTCTATGCAAGTAAGTATGGCGCATGGCGTGATAGATGTAGCTTGTGGGCCATGTAGCTCCATCTCTGCTCTGCCTGTGCGCGTGTATACGCGGGGGACACAGTGGGCGGCATTGATAGGGCCTCACGTCTATAGCTGTCTTGTCTAGGGCGCGGCTCGTTGCTTCGCTTGCAGCAAGTGCTTTCTTGAAAGGTTGCATGTTTAGGGGCGCTTACGTGCTCGGCTGCACACTAGACGCAGGGCGCTCACTTTTGCGCATTTCTTTGAGAGAAAAGCAGAGTGTGGCGCGTCGTATTTCTTATTCAAACAATTTACTACTATGGAGTGATAGGACAGGGAGGAGTAGTCGCAGTTTGTCAGTCGTATTTTCTGGTCTTGGCTATCGCTATCATAGGCTACGCGTTTTCTTTTATCAGGGGAATGCAAGCTGAGTCCTGGTTTTCGCAAGTAGTTAATCTGCATATGATCTTAGACAGTGGGGCGGAGGCTTATTGCTCTTCTTCATAATCGAGGAAAGCCCGGAGGACTCACTGCAACAGGCGGCTTTGGACTTGGATGAGGTCCGAGCCGCTTTCAAAGAGGAGGACCAAGGCGAGCACTGGAGTTAAGGCTTGAACACTTACCTCTCCATGGTTTTCTTTCTGAGGAAGAAGGCTACTCATTAGAGTCACTGCGCTGTCTGTAAGTGTGGCCAACCTCCGACATAGATATGTGCGCATAATTAAAAGCACCAGCAGCATACTGGAGTCTGTGGTGGCTCAGTGACTCAGTGGCAGCACCGCCGAGCTGTACTACGTACTCGTCAGAATCAATTTGAGCAGCCTTAGAACCGCAGTAGGTCCTAAAAACGTTAGAGAGGCAGATAGCGCGTCTACCAATTCGGGCCCACTCCAGTCGCCTGAGAGAGTTGTCGCGCCTGCTTTTTTCTTTTCAAAAGGAAGACAGAGGACCGACCGACCCGGGGGTGTCTGCTTCTATCTGAAAGGGGGTGAAGCTTAAAAGGTAGCCCGTAACAGTAAGTCGGCTACGGCGTAGATAGTCAAGCAAAAGCCCTCGGGCTTGTTGCTAAGGGAATAGTCCCCATTGTGGAAAGTAGAGCGGCTAGCTGAAAAACGCAGCTCACGATGGGCCCATTTGGGGAAGCGTCGGATGCTGGAGAGCTTTTCTGTCTCCTGTGTAGTGTTTGTATTTAGATGTAGTGCGCTTAGAGGCGCTAGGCGCGCGCGAAGCACCCTAGGTAGAGAGCCAGACCGGGACGTGTCGAGCGCAGGCGAAAAACTTAAGTCATTTCGTTTTCGCAAAAACTCAGCTTGAGACGTAGCTTAGCTGTGCTGCCCCTCCTCACCAACACGAGGCGCCTCTACCTCTTTTTCTTCTGCTTCTTCTCCTCCTAAGACACCGAGGGCGACGCGAGCAGTGACCCAGCCGTGCCGCTTTCCTTTTCGCTGGTGGTTCTAGCACAAGTATACGAGAGATATGCTGGCATTATGGATGGATGGGCTTACTCGCTACCTCGTAGATGAAAGACACGCTGGGGCTTATCATCTCGCCTGCGTAGGGCTAGCGGAGGCCGCTGCTTTTTAGACAAATCCAAAGCAGTAGCATCATGGAGCAGCCCAAGGGCAGGTAGGTGAACCAAAAAACAGAGGCCCAAGGCAAGTCGCTCGAGCTCGGCCACGAGTCGACACTTGGGCAGAAGTGAGTTATTTCACTGCCTCTAATTGTAGTAAAGTCGAAGTAGCCCCTTCGAGGGGTTCTAGTATCGCGTCATCAAGAAGTGGCGGGACACGCACACCGCGACGCGACTGGCTTTATCATTACGGCTAGCTTACCGCCATCTCAGTCTTGTGCGGGCTACGCTGAGTGGAGTCTTTGCTCTTGATTTGGCGAGGGATTATAGGGGAACAAAGAGGGGAACCCACTCGGACTCAACCAGCGAAGGCAGGGATAGTGAGCAACGGCCTCTAACATTAACTGCTTGACAGCACAGACACGGACACCACGGATCAGCGCCTTCTGCCAGTCTTCTGGAAACTCTTCGGAAGCGTGAACGACGCAAAGCTTGGAAACCTGGAGACGAGTTTCGAGTTTTTGGACCCAAGGCATCGGCATGGAACAGAAGTCAGCACAGGCCAAACAAATAACAAAAAAAGATGTTTTTTTTTTCGGTTGCAACAGCAAGTCCGAAACACCGCGAAAGCCGAGCTTCCGTTTGACACTTTCGCGGCAGATCCCTCCGAGAACTACGCCGTCGCGTCAAGGTGTAGACACTCTCACGAAATGCGGCTGCTTTCGCACCCTCCGGCAGAGTGGATGAGCGTGTCTCCTGGTCTCGAGTTAGCAAACCGGCTCTACGCCGTCACTGCGCTAGACGTCCTCGCCTTCCCCGTTCAGGAACAAGCGTTCGCACCTTCAACAATTATGACAGGAAAAAGCGCACTTATGTCCGAGAAAGCAGACACGCTGCAAGGAAGTGGGAGGCAGCATCTTTATTTTCTTGGTTGAATATATATGGGGCCACTTTTTCTTGTTATAACAATAGGCGCGACGCTAATAGATCAGCCCTACACTAAGGCCAGCGCTGACGCATCCTCAGCGGCATCGCGTCCGTGGCTTCTTTCTCATAGGGAAAAGGGCCTCAGGGGTGTGCCCTAGGGTGCAGCGTGGTAGCTCTAACTACATCAGTACGGGACACCATGCTCGCGGCCGCGGCCTACCATCTAATGGCGACTATCTTTATGACGCTTGATTACGACTGTCGGGGCAGCTGTGCCATATTGATAAACGGACACTGATTCAGCCCCTGCAGATTCTATAATCATAAACAAATAGCAGGAGTAGTCTCGAGTAGTACTAAAAAAAGCGCATGCGCAGGCAGAAGGGAGTTTTGTGTTATCTCATCACGACAGGCCTTGCGCTTGCAGCTTCTATCTCGTGACCTCCAGTAACTTTCTTGGAAATATCACACACCACTGGACATAGGACTACCAGCATGGAGCTACTCCTCGTCTTCAATTTATTATCTACCCAACTCTGATTCTGGGTGGTTCTAATGCGTTCTCATTTATGCCATTCAGCAGCGCGCTGTCGGTGATTCTACCACCTACGTGTGGCGTGGGCGCTCTGCCAAGGAGATCCAGGACCAAGGCTTCATAATGAAGACGGAGAGGCTGCGCGACTTACCAAGGGGCGACTACCATTAAGCAAAGGCTGTGAGACTGCCCCAAGCCGCTTTGACTTTCTTTCCGCATTAATATGTAAAACAAGTAGTGAGGGCGTAGCTTTGTTTGGTGTCGTAAGGAACTTGCTGTCAGTCGAAGCGCTGTCATTGCGGCCTACCGTTGTGCCCACAGATCATGCGCCATATGCAGTTCCCAGTAGTTTCTCTCAGTAGTTTCTCCACAAAGTTTCCCTCACATTCAATGGCTATTTTCTTTGCCAGATTCTGTGAAGCTAGTGGCTCGTATTCCTCTAGTGTTTCCCTCTACCTAGTAGTCCCTTCGAGTACAACCGCTGCCGCCCTCTGGTTAGTATTTTCCTGTAGTGTTTTCCTGATATTATAGTTCTTTCTTGATTTATTGTTGTGTTCTTCATCTTCTACATCTAGCGTCTTTTCTCGAATATATTATATTTCCTTTTCCTTCTATATTGTAGTATAAGAAGTGAAGGTGTTTCAGTATTATAATTATAGTATATCTATAGATTATTACTGCAGCCCCTTACTGTTATTTTTGTTGTGCTCGTCATCTTCCAATGATGTCCCCCCTTATCTGGGTCGCACTGATGATGATACTCCTCCAGCCCTTCTCTTCGTGTCCTTGTCCTTCCATAATGTAAATTATTTCTTCCAGTGCTTGAGATGTTGTAGTTTTAGGCTGCCTTAGGGTAGATCTATACCTGCCTCAGGTTGAGCAGCGCTACTTTGGTTCCTCTAGTATTATTCTTCCAGAAGTTGTATTGTTCCTCCAACATATAGCAGCTACACAGAACCCTCCTAATACCCTTGCGAAATTTTCCACATCTTCGATGAAGCGGGAGAGCAAGTACCCGGCAATCCGTGCCCAGCTTTCTCGGACGACTCCGAACAGGCTGCATTCGCCCTTCGGACTGATTTCGAGTTTCTTCCGGAGCGCCTTCTGCACCTCATGAACCTGTCGTTACGGTTTCATTCTACCGATCATTGTTCTTGTTGAGTTTGTGGCTAGGACCTCTACTGATCTTTAGAAAATGAATTGCTAGGAGCCTCATTTGGAGCTTGTAGCGACGGTTTCTACCGATCGCCAATTACAGCACTCAACACAAACAGTAATGACTCCATTCATCAGGCTCCTTGAGTTTAAGGGGCCTCTACTTCCTGCCTTCTTAATGAAAGTGGCAGGCGGATTTGTAGCTGATGGGAGTATCTTCTTCACATCTTTTTGCTTTTTATCGTTCCGCATCTACGTACTACAACCTTGAGGAGGATCATGGGGTCCTTGTTGTGTTAACGAAAAGGCGCTAAGCACTTCCTTTCGCCTCTAATATGTATCATTTATTACATTCACTTCACGGAGGGCAATGAATAGGGCTAGCGTTAGTAGTTTCTCTTCAAGATTGTATGAGTATTGTTTTTGGAGGTATATATTGGCTCTTGTTCATCGTCGAGATATTGTGAGAACTTTCTCACGAGGACTACTTCGCCATCGTGCTCATTTGAAGACTTTCCTCCGTTTCAGTTGTAGCATAAATGGCCTGGCGTTTTCATGAGATGGGCGCTCATATCCCTCCGCATCTCAGAAGCTGTCGCCATGTTTATGTAAGACCTTTCCCACGAGCACGACGACCTTCTGATGTGCTAGGCGCTTACTTCGATGAAGATAGTTGGCTCTAATGTAAGAAGATCGACGCCCGACTAGAAATGAGCGCGCTACTAATATGGCTTCGCTCCCCTATTTATTGGTGGTCCATCTTCAGAGGCATTCTGGTAGAGGGGGGTCCCTGGGGAAATAGACGATGCGTTCCAACAAGATGGCAGTACTGAGGAGAAAAGGCACGACCCAGGGGGGTGCGTCCCAGGATGGGCTCCTAGGTTAGCTAAGCTGTGAGGGGTCGAGGCTTAGCTAGCTTAGCTTAGCTAAGTACTTACCTAGTAGTGAAACTACTTGGTACTAGAGAGAAGCTCTAACACTGGGACTCGGCTTTTTGACTCGAAGCGACGTGGAGTCTACCGTGTCCGAACTCTTTGTCGGGAGCCACCCCCCTTCTCCGACGGCCCACAACAGGCACAAGAATGGGCGGAAAAGCGTCACGACGTTAGGTGGCTGCGCCTCTCTGATTCTAGTCCGACTCAAAAGTTACGAATAGAATCAGTAGAAAGCTTGTTACGAATAGAATAAGCACGGGCTCTCTTAAGTTTGAGTCTTTTTGTCTAAATAGAAGCAAGGGCCTCTACATAGAATTATGGTAATAGAATGATAGTCTTCTACTTGCCTTATTAGAAGAACGAGGCTCCATGTGTATGTGTTGCATGAGAACGAAGGACAAGAGCCTTTTTGTCTTACAAAAAGAAAAAGAAGTCTCTAGGTAATGTGTGTGCGCTGTATGAGAGTTTGCCTTTGCCTTCATTCCTTTTTCTAGAAGTTAGGGCCCTGAATAGACATCAAGAGCAGTCTTTCATTTTTCAAGATGTGCCTGTAGTTGGGCACTCTTAATATTAGTTTGGTGCGCTTCTTACTTGCAGCAGCATCGCTCGCAATGGCCCCACCAAAGCACTCGCATTCACCAGCGTGGTGGCCTTATCAAACAAAAGAAACTACAGCTTATTAAGCACATAAGCCCGATGGCCCAGCAGTCAGGAGTGACTACTTTTTTTGTTTGATATTAGTATTTATAGGGTTAGCAATAATTTGGGAAATCCTTAAGAGACTCCTTTAAGTGGCTTCCTTAAGGAAAACCCTTTTCCTTAAGGAATTTCTATTACCAAGAGTTATTATAACTTTCCTTAAGAGAAAAAAAATTCCTTAAGGAAGCTCCTTAAGGAAAAGTTGTAATAGCCCTTGGCTAATATTAGACCCTTCCTTAAGGGATTCGCAAGGACTCGCAAGGCTCTCTAAAGCCCTTGCGCTGCTAGTGCTACGAGTGGAAAGGCACCGCGAACATGTTAACGCGTTCGCGGCTGTTAGTTTGTAGGCTACTCACGTACCCAGCCACATCTGCAGCAGGACACTACGCGCCCACCCCTAGCGAATCGCCCCAACGAACTTCCAGCCGCTACCCTTGTTATTTATCACCCAGCGCCTTTACTTTTTTCCAAAAACTTCAGGGAGGTCATTCAAATACAGATAAAGCGGAACGACCTCCCTGAAGTTTTTGTAAAAAAGTTAGCTCGCTCCCCTTCCGCGACTACCTTCCGCGCACAGCAATCGACCACAGGAGCGCGCGGCAGCCCTTGGAGATGGTTAACCAGTATACTTCTAACCAGCTCACCAGGGTCCACCCTTCAGCCATGCAAGCCCTCACGGCTATCATTCTCACAGGCATCGACATCCTCAACGGCTTCGACTTTCACACACAGCGATGTATATCTTTGGCCTTCTCATGGATATGATGATGCTCACCAGGGTCCACCCTTCAGACATGCAAGTCCTCACGGCTATCATTCTCACAGACATCGACATCCTCAACGGCTTCGACTTTCACACACAGCGATGTATATCTTTGGCCTTCTCATGGATATGATGATGCTCACCAGGGTCCACCCTTCAGACATGCAAGTCCTCACGGCTATCATTCTCACAGACATCGACATCCTCAACGGCTTCGACTTTCACACACAGAGGTGTATATCTTTGGCTTTCTCATGGATATGATGACGCTCACCAGGGTCCACCCTTCAGACATGCAAGTCCTCACGGTTATCATTCTCACAGGCATCGACATCCTCAACGGCTTCGACTTTCACGCGCAGAAATCAAATGTATATCTCTGGCCTTCTCATGGATATGATGACGCTCACCAGGGCCCACCCTTCAGGCATGCAAGTCCTCACGAAGCCGTTGAGGATGTCACCTCCCCAGCCTTCCCGACCTTGACACAGTGGGAGCCACCTTCCCAGCCTTGGCGAGCAGACTTGGCGACTTTTTTCGTTTGTCTTTCTGTCTCTTAGTAGTCAATCTGTCTAGTTGTTAACCTATGCCCGGCGCAGCGGGCCCTTGATGGGCCCGCTTTCTGGGCATGTAATTATAGGCCTGCGCTTTTTTTCAGTTCAAGTTTGCTGTGTAAAGTAAAGCCAGAGCCATACTGTGGCTTCATGATGTTCTGAACAAGGGGCATGGCGTAGTGATGCTTCAGCCTCTAACAAAGGAATGCCTTGAAGAGCTTCGCGCAGACGATGTCGCCAGGGACAACGCATTCTGGATGCCTTGGGAGAATTTTGTCGGACTGGGCGCAGACTTCTTCTTCTCTTATGGTCGGGCCTCGTCACTGATCTCACCCAGCATCTTGGCACCTATTTGCCCGTTGTATTCCCATGAATTAGAAGGGCCAAGGCCTCGCTCTTCTTTTATTTTCTTTATGTTATGCTTTTACTGATGAAATTCTCGGACACCAAAATCAAGAAGATGAAGCAATCTCCTTCCGCTGTGCTGCATTTCTCGTGCTGATTTCTTACAAGAGTAACGTAGGGCACCAAGATGTTAGGATGATCTCTCGCACGCTTTAACCCTTGGGCAACGAAGGAGAGCACTACATATACGCAAGCCCCCTGCTTATGGCGCCAAAACAAAGTAGAAACCTCGGGGACTTTTATTAGCGGTCTATGTATGTCCTATCGGATGAAAGTTCAGCAGTGAATCCTTGTAGGCTCAAGATTCAACCTTGTCTTTGCGCAGGTGCTTGCGCTGGGTGTGGCAGCTGAGTGCGGGAACCTAGCTGATCCCTTAGCTTACTTTATTTTAGTATGTTGCTGCAGCTGCGTGGGCAGATAATATGGGCGGGCAACTGCAAGGGCTACGCTACGCTTTCTACCAAGAGTAGGCGACTACTTTTCGTCTGTGCACTATTCATCTACAGTAGTGCGCGGCAGCAGGCCGATGGCGTTGATTAGTCCCTCCCTGAAAGTCCCAGTCTTCGAGGTAGCCGCTTGGTTAGTGGGTCTCCTAAAAGACTCAACCGCCTTGCAATTCATAGACGCACAATGGCCATATGGCCTTTGGCTCTTTGTCCACTAGTCAAGGAGTCACTTGACCCGAACTTTGGGACGACACCAACGACGACCATTTTCTGTCATTTATTAGGCGGGGCCTTTTAGGTAGACGTCATCTAATGTGCCGCCCCGGAAGTACGTGCAGGAGAGAGGCGCCCTCATTGTGCGTCCGGCCTTCGGTGTTGATCAGAAAACGGGGCAGTTCATAATGCATGACCCGTCGGAGGAGGCTAGGCGGAAACGCCTTGCAGAAGAAACCGCGGCAAGGATCAAAGTAGAGCCCAGCAAACCAGCGACTCCAGCCGACGAAAAAGTCCTGAGCGGCAGAGAGGCTGCCAGGCCCAACGCGGAGAGACCTGAAACGTGAAGAGGAAGCGCCTGCGAAGCTTTTGGAAGATAGCTCTCGCGGGAAAGGATTAAGATAGACAGCACCTGAGCCCGATCGATGTTTGTTGCACTCGGCTTAGCTGTGTCCGTTCTTATTTTGGATGCTTTTCTCATATCTTTTAGAAAGTTCGGAAGGCTTTCTGGTTGGTCCTCTGATTTGGTCTAGGGCTAGGGGTAGGCTTTTTAGTTGTAATCATTCAGAAAGCCAATGCCGGTAGCATGAGACTCGGGGGCATGTGTGTTCAGCTGTGTAATGCGTAGAGGAACTGCTCAAGTAGCCGATCCAGTCCAAGAATTTCGAATTTGTGGCTTTTATTCGTGAACAATGTTCAACATCGTGGTCGTATATTGGTACACAAAGACTATCAGGATTTTACGAGTAACTTATCAAAGAAAGCTTTCTGTAACTGCTCGGCTAGAAAAAGCATTGTGAAATGGAGTATTTATAGTGAGTGAATGATTTGTAGCACTCATGCAATGGATGTCACGGTGAAGAAAATCAACATTTCCAAGACGTTGAAGATCAGACTGGATCATGAGAATAGATGAGTATCTTAAGAGATGTGCCTGTTGTACTATAAAGACCTACAACAACAATGATCGTGTTAATTTTGACTTGACTTGATGAAGATGAATCTAAAAACAGTCCGCCTTGATGAGAAAAGAAGGAGATAAGGGGCGACTTTTGCCTGCAGAGATCGCGGCTTATGCCGATGACTATTAGCGGAGGGGAGGGAGCTCTCACCTTTCGTGAACTCCTTCCTCTCCTCTGGGGCCGTGAGTGCAATGACCCTATTCAAGCTCACACCATTCTCAGGCACTTCATTGCCTTCATTCTTTCAGTTATCACCGTTCATTTCATTTCTCTCTCGTTCATTTGTTCGCCCTTTGGGCCTTTCAGCTTTTTTCCATTGAGCCAAAACCCACTTCTGTTAGTGTCGGTTTTTGCTCGCGTCGTTCAGAGAGCCCGTTCAGTCGGGCCTCTGTCCATCTCATTTGTTCTCGCCCGCTGTGGCGCTTTCGTGCTTGTCAGACGCGGTTCTGACAGCGCGGGCGCGTATGGCGGTGTGTCTCTCGCGTGCGTTCACGTTGCTATGGCGGTTCGGGATCACTTCATGTAGGTTCTCGGCGCGCACTTTGTGCTCTGCCGAATAGTTCAGATCCTTTCGAGTCGTCATATCTTCACGGGAATAGAGTCGTGCTTAACCTAGTCCCCCACCTTCATCGTAGCAAAATAGGCATCAGCATAAAGGGGCGACTTTTGCCTGCAGAAGTCGCGGCTTATGCCGATGACTATTAGCGGAGGGGAGGGAGCTCTCACCTTTCGTGAACTCCTTCCTCTCCTCTGGGGCCGTGAGTGCAGTGACCCTAACTATTCAAGCTCACACCATTCTCAGGCACTTCATTGCCTTCATTCTTTCAGTTATCACCGTTCATTTCATTTCTCCCACCCACCGTCCCAATTCAATGCGACTCGCAGAGGCTCGTAAGTCCCCAGCCACGGCTGGGACTACCCTCAGGGTCAGGGCGAGTTCATCCGTGTCGTTGCTAGTTACCTTTACCTAATCCTTTTCGCCTCACCTTTACATTGATGCGTGGCAACACACAGTCACACACTTGTTACCCAATGAGAGCTTTCGAATCTCGTCCTGGCGAGTCTCTGTCTGAGGAAAAAGAATTCTTTCATCATTCAAACTGAAGTGCTGCCTTATTAGAGTGGCCATTAGCATTAAGTACGGCCCACTCTCGCAAGAGTAATATGCGTGTTGAGCCGCCCTTTTCTGTCATGAGCTCCATGAGCGACTTTGTCTGTTGACGGAACACAACGGAGACACCCTGTAGGAGTTCAACTAATTAGCACTGACGCACGACATGGCCTAATCATGTACTCAGCATCCCAATTGAACACGCAGCTTATGTTTTCTGTGCCTCTCGAACTGTCGCCCCGTTGTCTTTTTATTACGTCGTTTTGTCTTCCCTTTTGAAGGATGGGCAACAAAAAGCTGAAGAATGTATGTTGGTCGGCGGCAGAATCGGCTGCGCAGATCCTCACTAGAATTCGTGATGACGTCGCTAATGTGCACGATGTCAAGCTGGATCAAGTCATTGACGAAAAGAGTTTCCAGCTGTACCTACAAGGTTACCCCACAATCGAGTCCGTCGACAACGGTTTAAAGCTCCTCGAAGAATTGGACGCAAGCTCGTGGCGTCCTCCATCGTCTGAACTCCATGAAAATTTTTTCGATGTTTCTAATTCCTCCGTGATCGGCTTCAAAAGCATCGCCCTAATCAAGAAACTAAATAATCTCTTCATGCCTGAAGGCCCCGACGTCTGGACTTTGTTTTTACGGGGCGGCACTTGTGTTGGTAAAGTAACCTGCCCGCCCGGTTGGGTGGACAGGAAACCCAAGCTGGATGACGACGTCTCCAACGCTTGCGAGCGCGTTTGCTCGAAACACGCCATGGCAACTAGGTCAAAGCCCGCGCTCATGGACGATGACGTCTTACAACTTATTTGGGACACCTCTCTTGGCGAGGCACGCGAGGGGATCTTGCATGGGCCATTTTCTATTGACTCTCTGCCAGATGAGATCGAGGCACTCGTGCCGCGCTTCGCCATCTGGCAAAAGAGCAAGTACAGGATGATTGACGACGCGCGAGTTTTTAACAACTCCGCGCATCTGTCAAAAAAAATCCCTCTTCCGAGCCCTTTAGAGGCTCTTGCCACCGCAACCGTGGCGGCTAGGTTATCTCTTGATCCAAGTTTAGGCCGGGATGTAGCCGGAAACTTCGTAGTTAATCCCAAACGCCGCAGAGTGGAGGAGCCTGGTGTTGACTCTCGTCCGTCAGCATCTCTGTTTGGCGATGTATTCATTAATAATTTCTTTGAGGATTTAGACCTTCCACCCGACGCTCCTTTGGGGGTCGACGGGTTTGTTATAGATATCGAGCGCGCCTACAAGAGCGTGGGCATCGTCGTCACTCAACAGCACGCTAACTACATCGCAGTTTACGACCCTTCCAGTTTAAAACTTTTCGCCTTCCGTTCCTCAGCGTTGTTATTTGGAAATACTCACAGTGTCGTCGTCTGGGTTAGGGTGTCCCTGTTGATCGTTGCGGCGATCCGGGGCCTCTTTCAAATCCCAGTGGCCGTATACATAGATGACTACCGTAGTTTTGTTTAAAAGACCTTCGGCCCCCGGTGTGCCGCTGCTGTTTGTCGACTTTTAGATAAAATAGGGCTTGGCTATCGTGAGGAGAAGATGGGCGTTAGCTCCACCTCCATCACGTTGCTCAGCTTAGTTTTCTCGTTGGTAGGACAACCGTCGGTCGCGCACTTTGTGCTCTGCCGAATAGTTCAGATCCTTTCGAGTCGTCATATCTTCACGGGAATAGAGTCGTGCTTAACCTAGTCCCCCACCTTCATCGTAGCAAAATAGGCATCAGCATAAACCAAGAAAATTGCATGACACAGGTGTAGTTTTTGGAATTCTTGGCATACAGAAGTGTGATTAGGAAACACATCTCCTGCGGACCAAAAAGAAATCGGTGCAATCTCGAGCTGGTGACCTGCTAAGAGTGGTCTGCTACATGACATCGACCCTCGGTAAGTATCTATAACGAAATCGCTGGTGAAGTTGAAAGCCTACTGTAGTTCACCTATGAAAATAAGAATCGGTTTCGTAGGTAAGTAGAAGATATATCGCTATCGGTTCCGAACGGCGAACGTCCTACTAGAAGTTATCCTCGCTATCGGTTCATCGGAACGGACTTGAAGAAGCGACGTTATCCTGCTCTCTATCGGTTCATCGGAACGGACTTGAAGAGCCATCACGTTCCTCCATTCACTTTCCACCATCACGACACCTGTTAGAAGCATCGACTAGTTGAAGTTGTGCAGTGCATGAATGAATGGGATATGTCAGATCACGAAGCTGCGTCCTGTCCCTGCATGATCGAGAGAACAATGAGTAAAAGAACCTAAGTACTAGGACATGACCCCCTACCGCTACCTCGCCTAGTATTTTTAGGTGCCTGGCCGTTGTGCTTCAGGATTCTCGCAGGGTAATTAAATGCTCGTATTGCGAGGAACATAGACCCAGGTCCCAAAAAAAAAAACCTCGCGAATAGGTACATGAATGAATAAATGAATGAATGAATGAAACAAAATGCCGGCAGTACCTGTACCTCCAATATTGAACAAGCAGCGAGGAGGCGTTGTGGCGCCTGGTCGACCGAGTAGACGGCCTTCCGCACGACCATCCTCTGCTACGAAAGTTCGAAATGCTCCAGCGACTTCGTCTAGTGGTGAAAGAAAAAGTGGTCTTGTTCTTGGGGAGAGCATGATTGTCCACAACAACTACTCAACAGTTGTTCCTAGAGAAGACAGGGATTACGCCTGGGTGCAGCTTACCAAAGGAGATGCGTCGTGGACCTTAGCGCCTGTGCTGGACATACGGAATGTAGGCTCCCGACAAGTAGTAACGGTCCAAGTCTTCAATGCGCCAAGTCGGGGGGCTTCTCTTATGATATTTTTGTCATATCCGGGTTAGGGTTCTTTGATAACATCTTATTAGTACCAGTGAAAAAAAAGAAAGGACGATACCTGACCATATCTGAGCCTGTAGCTTCCCTTTCTCATTCAGCCAGATGAACTCGAAGACTAAACGACGGCTACGACATCCGAATTTGTATAATTAACATCTCTTGGCGGAAGCATGAGGAAAGATGCAAAAGAAATACAAAGTAGAAGAGGGAAAAAGGTGAAGAGAAGTAAAAAACAATAAAACAGCAGAAGGAGCTGTGAATTAACACACGGTACAAGTCTTCAATGCGCCAAAAATTATGATATTTTTGTCATATCCGGGTTACTTAGGGTTCTTTGATAACTACACTCTGTAGCTTTAGTCTAACCATAATAAATCGTGTGAAGATGTTTCATTTTCTAATCTTGAAGCCGCCTCTTCACCGACTTCGAGGATACAGCGGCAGTTCTTTATCGAGGATGTCTGTTTTCTCCAACCTCCAGTCCAAAACGTCGCACAGAGTCAAACACCACACACACTGCATACCTTATGGGTGGGTAGGTTCTTCTAGTTGACGAAGAAATTCAACAAGATATGGGTAAGCATAGGCATAACAAGAACAAGAAGTTCGAGTTCTCTCCTAGTTGACGAGGAAACTCAACAAGATGAAATACTTATAAGTAGATGTAAGGTCCTCTAAAACCAACAAGAAGTTCAATTTGTTGAAGTCTAGAAGAAGAAGTGTAAGTGCTTTAAGGGTAGTAAGTGTAAATGTAAGGCTCGTCCTAGTAGGTAGTAGAAGTTGTCCTTGCGAAGTAGAGCCGACTACATAGCGATTCGATTTCCCATCGTTGACCTCCTCTGTCTTGCTCTTGGCAGTAGACTCTCTAGAAGTATTTCTCTAAGGTCCTTGGAGAAGCGACTAACGGAAGGAAGCTGCTACACTTGGCTAGGCGACCGAAGCATTTTGTCGCTGAACCCTTTCACCGCACCTGTTCTGCGAGACCGCGTATTGTCCGACTTCCTTTTTCAGGCTGTCTCGAGGTCAGTAGCAACCAGCGGAGACACGACCACCATAGTTCTCCAAGGTGTAGCTGGTAGCGGGAAGAGCAGCAACTTTGGTCTCCTAATCGAGGAGCTGAGTCGAGGCCATCCTAGTGCACGTGGGTCTATGCTCTTTCGAGAGGCGAAGAGGGTCCTCAACTTCTTTGGCAACATCAGGACTGTGCGAAATCGTGACAGTAATCGCTACTGCCATATGGCCAGCGCACATGGCGTAACGTTGTTGGACACGGACAATTAAGGCTTATTTTTCTAGCAATAACAGTAACTAAAAGATTCAGGTACACTTGGTAACTCGGGATTTGTGGTCCGGTGGGTTTACGAGTGAGTGATGTGTTTCAAATTGAGCAATGGAGGTGTGAAAAGTGAAGTGAAGTAAGATTCTTTTTAATGTTCCTCCCCTACCCTGACAAAGTCGTGTTGTCGTTCTGATTATTTATTTTCCACCTCTGCGGGTCGGTTAGTTAGAAGTCTCGTCTGACTAATCTCGTCAGTCTAGCTCTAGTCACTCCACATTACTTAATATTGTCAAAATAGATCTACCGCAACCACAAGTGCTTGTAAAAAGAACATAATTCGTCTCCTCCGTCTAAGCCAAAGAAGATGATTCGTCCTCCGCTCCCAAGATAGGGATAGCCGGTGGGTCGCATACGTGCGCTCTCTTCGAAGCAGCGAGGATCGACGCCAGAAACCCAGGAGATATTAAGGCATCTCCTTGTTTGCTCCTAATTGTAATTGATTCATCTCCTCCTGCACGACTGAGCATCTAATTCATCTCTCCTGTTTTTAAGATGGAATCCTGGAGTGGAAGATTTTCGAGGGTAAGTAAAAGAGATCCTCCAGGATGATCGTTGAATCTGTAGATGTAGATGGATACGGGCATCAAGCTCTTCTTCTAAAGAAAGCACCTTCCATGTCATAAAGTCGTTCTTCGCCTACTTGAAACTACTGGACGCATTGCATGAACCGGTCTACAAAAAGAAGCATATCCAGGGAATATCCGATGAATACATCCCACAACAGGCGAAAACAGGAACTATTATGTTGAAAAGGAATTATTACGAATCGTCGAAGTTGAAGTAGTTCTAGTTGGTTGTACTATATTACATCAGAGGTAGAAGTGGGGCAGCTGTGGCAAAATTGTTGACACGACTCGTACGGAACAATAGAGGCAGTTCTTGAGCTCTACAAGCAGTGTTTATTTTTACCCCTGCATTATCTAGGTCTTCTAGCAGATTATCGGCATCATGAGTTCTGATTACACTTCCCTTTTTGGTCCTTTTTGGTCGACGTGGAATAATAGTAGTAACTTCATCGAAAGACATACTCCTTTTTCCACGACTTTCTCTAATTCTTGTACTGCACAGCTGCCGCCTCAAGGTGGGGGTCCGCCGCAAATAGCCGGGATCGCAAATCCACCCTCCAATGTGCCAGATGGAGTGAGCCAGTTATGAAAAATCTTCGTAGGCAAGAAGTTCTGTTATAGGAAGAAAGTGACGCCCATTAGTAAAGTGATGCAGGAAGAAGACCAAGACTAAAAAGCTACACCTTGTTCCCATGAATCATCTTGCATTCGCTGCTCATTCCTCTCCCTCTCCCTCCTTCCTCTAACCAAAGGGAACGCTCAATCGGAATTTCTGCACCATCACGTGCAACTCGGAGCTGGGGATCCTAACAAAACTCTCTGTGTCGACGCATCTTTGGAAGCACGATTGGCGTTTTCACCAAACGAAATCACCCATGACCAGTTGCTTGGGTGTATTGTTATGGCTACAACACGAAGCTCGTCCGCTAAGCCTCGGCTGACTGATTCTGATTCAGATTCAGTCTACGGTTACAGTGTCCTCTATCAAACAATTTCTATCTCAAACTCGTACGTCTCAGATTTTTCGTACTCCCTCGACCTCGAGGAGTTTATGTAGTGGTAGTCGCTCTCGCTGTCGCTTCCTTGGGAACCCGGACCCGCGCGACGGCGAAGTAGGAAAATCCGTGTCTCTGTCAGTCGTGGATTTTTCGTACTGCTCCCTCGACTTGGGCAGCTCTAATATTCCCGCTGCAGACCGAGACTTGGGCTCTTTGGATTTGGAGTCCCTCTACATGTTGCCTGAGGCTGGATATCGCTTTCTGCATCCAACGGAGATGGAGGTGAGTCGAGTGCTTTGAAAGTTTCGTAATCGAACAGATGTAAGAAGTGGAATGTTCGTCTATTAAGTACGCAGTTTTTATATACGAAGCATCAAAAAAGAAAAATGATCTTCACCCAAATCCAGGATCAATTCCCAATTAGCCGAGCGCACACGACTTCCGATAGTATCAGTCGAAACGAGCTTCTTCTCGCAGCAAGGTTTATTGATATGCGTCGATTACTGGAACAATTCGGAGTGGGCACGAAAGTCCTCAATCAGATTTTGACGGTCCTGAACGTCACTCTCTCATTGGGCAACGTGGAGTTTCGACTTATGCCCATGGTGAAGGAAAGATTTGGTTATTTGTTTGAGAAGATATAGCGTCCTTTGGTCTTCCACCACGGTCCAGCTCATTATTGTCTTTGTCGCCCGTACTCGTGTCCTCCTACTATTACTTTCTGACGCGGGTCTTTCTCTTTTTGCTATCTTCAAAAATCAGAAGTAGTTTAGTAGAGGTCTCATCTTCAGCTAACAAAAGCGGCACCGCTGAGGGTGCAGCACACCTCACCGATAGGGGGAAGGCGGCAGTCGAAGATTTGGCCATGTTGTTGGGGCTTTCGATGAATGCGGAAGTGTTGGAGGAGGTGTTTCTGATAGAGGCCTACGATCCAAAACACCTAGACGAAGAGATCGAATTGGATCGGGAAGATGCGGGAAACATTCACAAAGCAAGAGATGTTCTGTACTTACTTATTTTGA